AAACAACATGAATGATGAAATTAAGAGTTTAAATCATAGGTTTGAATGCTTGATAGTTACTTTTTTAAGTCCAAGTCTGTTTAAGTCTTTTTTGCTTTTATCAAATAAAGCTTACTTCATTTTATTGGAGATAAATAATCTGTCTTTATCTAATTACTCAACATTGCTAATCCTAGAAGGTGATAACAATGATGGTTTATGTTTGCTCATCAGCATGAAGGTATCAGTGTCATCATCATTTGCAGTACTCTGCACATCAATTGTTGAATGAATGGTCTCCTTAATAATTGTGTTTATTTGTTCTAGTTCTGATTTGTTGTTAAGCATTCCCATTTTTCTTTGATTTTTAGTTTTGCCAATATTTGGTGTTTGCTTTGAGTTTCTCTTCTCTTAGAAGTACTTGGACATATGATTGTTCTTTTTATATCCAATATCATGAAGAAGACTTTCAGAATTTACTCTGTTTATCAGTACTCCTGAAGTACTTTATCTTGAATTCATATTTTAATCATATTTCTCAAAAGCTTTCTGCACTTCACTGTCTATTTTCTTTGCTATATTAACTTGATTCTTTATAGTTGGTAGCATTATATTGCCTCTAATTTAAGATAGCTAGAGTGTTTACTATGACTCATTGTTCCCCATGAATGACTATGTCTCGCTAAGCTGCATAGTTCTAACTTAACTATGATTTTATTATAACTTCTGATTAGTAGGACTTAAAATACTTTGGCTGATAGAGTTTTATGACATTGTATTGTACTTACTAGCAGATACTCTTGTCCTATTAACTTAGATTTGTAATTTTTTAAGAATTTCTTTAAAAGCTTTTTTCTCATCTAAATTTGAATCTATGAGATTTCCTTTTTCTTCAGCATGCTTAATCCAACTTTTTGACGACCCTAATTTTCTTTGGGCAAGATTAGGTATAACTCTGAGAGAGGCTTTTTTACCAATAATAGACGATTAAGTATAGGTTAGCTCATCATCTCCTCTTCTGTTTTTTTCGTTCTACTTCTCAATATCTTCTAGAGCACTTGACAAGCTGAAAGTCATTTAATGAGTGTATTCCATAACCTCTGACTCTTTAAGTTTTTTTCTCATTTATCTTTCCTATTCTTCTAATTCCTAGATTCTATCTGATTATTATACCTCATTCACCTAAAGTTTGTCAGAATCATTAATTCCCTTTACAATAACTTTCCTAACTTCCATTTTACTCTTATATTTGTTCTTCGACAAACTTCTTAATTACTTTTGAGGGCTTTCTTCAGACTTTAAACTCTCTTTTTATAGAATAACTTATGCTTGAGGAATTTTTTATTTTTCAGCTTTTTTGTCAAACTCTTGCCTTAAAGTAGTTTCTTTCTTATCTTCTTTCATTCTATTTTGCCTATATTAAAGATTTCTAAGAGTAGTTTTTGAAGAGATTTCTGATTCTAAGATCTTTATATATTCCTTTGTCGCTTAATTCATTGTTTTATGCTGATTTTATTCCCCATATTTCGCAATCAGATAATCAATATCAAAAGCTTAAGTTAAAAACATTGTTGTATCATGCTTATGATCCTATTCAGATGCTTGGTTTAAATCTTCTCCTCTAAAAATGCTATTAATGGCTCTCAATGTCTTGATAGCTCTTTTTATTTTCATAAATCTCTTTCTATTTTTAGTATAATGCATGTTCCACTTAGCAGGCAAAGGATTACAAATATTAAGAGAGCAAACAAGATCACCTTTAGATATGTTAGATAGTTTAATAAAACCATCTAGAGAACAAGATACGATGCATTTATTTTCTTGAATTTTTATAATTTTGATCAAATTGATAGATTCCTTTCCATGTAGTTTTCTTCTTAAGATTAAATAATCCTGGCCATCTATTAAATCTATTGTTTTTTATTACTTGCAATCCTTAAAAACATCTGCATCTAGAATCGACTTTGCATTTAGAGGAAAATACTTTGACCCATCAAAATCATCATTTCTTAAAGGATTCGCATTTGGCTCAAATCGTCTATCTTTTATTGGTTGTATTGAGCTTAAATCTGAAAAATAGTCAGTCATCTCATACATAAAAATATAACCATTCTTTGTTCCAAAAGCAACTAAGCATTCATTTTCAAGCCTTGCAGCGGATGATTCTTCTAATTAACTACAGTAAATGGACTTCGCCATGCATCTTGGTGAATCTTTAAAGTAAAATTCATCAGAAGTGCCATCTAACTCAAGTTTACCTATAATCCTATAAGTTTACATACTCTCACTGTAGTTTAGGTGAAAGAAATATACATTTCCACAAAAATCAATAACTGCCAAAATTGGGTATGGATCAAGAAAGAATAGATTTCTTATATCAAAATCTTCAACATAGCATATTCCCATAAGTCTCATATTCTCATAATTCCAGATTATTACTGCCTTGTCATTTGCTGTTGCAATTAGATTCAAATAAAATGAAGCTTTGCAATAAAGGATATCTTCACCACCTAATGGATGCTTGAGAGTTCTTAAAACTGTTGGAATTTCCTTCGTAGTAGATTAAATCATGATTTTATTATCAAATCCGCATGATAAAATAAGATTGTTTATTGAATCTACCATTAGACATGATACTTCTTTGTTATGATGTTAAAGTTGCTTGATTTATTTGCCTGAATTATATCCAAATATCTAAATACTACCTAGATGATCACTAACATAAAATTTCTTTTCAGTTTCATCAAGAGCAAAATTAGTTATATCCTCATCCTTCTTTGTTAAATTTACCATTATCCTTATTTATTTTCCAGTCAAGCAGTCCAGAATTCTCACATCCTATTTTGTAACTACAACTATCTAATCATTTTTAGCAGAGTAAACGAATTCTATCACTTCATTTTCTTATTATTGTATTTAAGGCTCTTAATTAATTTTCTATGTTTTCTTTGGTTTTTTTATCATCTGAGTTGTTGATATAGTTGCTTTAGTCTTTGCTAAATTTTCTACATCTAATTGAGTCAGATTAAATAAATAGATCCTGTTAGACACAGAAATAAATGACTCAGGGGAGACACTTATCAATTTCCCGACAAGGATTTCACTATAATTTATATAAATGAAGGAATTTTACAAATTAAATCTGAAGGTCTAAATACATTGGGAGTTCCTTAAATTCCAACATTTAATGCAACCAAAATCATCTGAACTAACTAGATAGTTTGTATCTTGTATTAGATCTATTGCTGTAACCATACTTTCATGTCCAGTTAGAGTACTCAAGTTTGTACATTCTATAGCAGAATCGAAATGCCATATTTTAATCTAGGTTTCATACGATGCTGTAAAAAGTAAATCATGCTAGTAAGAATATTTTAAAGTATGTACTGAAAAAGAGGCCTTAAGATCAATTATAAATCTCATTTCGAAATCTTTGATATCCCAAACAATAATATTTTTATCGAGAGATGAGCTGAGCATTGCATTAATTCTTACTACATCAATTACATCCATTATTTTCATTTTATGAATTCTCTCAAGTGTCTTTGGTTCTTCGAATTCTAGATCCCAAATGTGAAGAGCATTAGTCTTGTCTGTAGTCACCCATTTCGAACAAGACTCTAGACACCATATTTTAACTTGAAGATGCTAAAGTAAATTAGTTTTCAGAACCTTCTCAAATTTATAATTATCCTCAGTTTCCCAAAAGCATAAAGTGTAATCTCTTAGGCAAGCTCCAATCTATATAATTGGTAAATAGGAAATATGAAAATACTCTTTCAGTCTTATTGTCAACAGCAAAATCTAAAATTGTTGGATCGTTTGGATGATCTTAAGGCACAATTAATTTTGAAATTCCCTCGATCTCAGAATCATAAGCATAAAGTGCTTGTGAATTAAAATCCAAACATAAAATTTGATTAGTGGGCTTAAAGAATTATGTTCTGTAAAGTTAATTCATAGTGAACTTACTAATTTATACCAGTTTTATGAGTCTTCTTGTCAGCATTTGGTGATTTTACAAAGAAACTAAGCTTATTTTCATCTTCTCCTACAAGATCTGGTAACTCTAGTCCTAGCTTTCTAATCATTTTTTCTTAGATGTTGTTTCTAGGGTGTCTTATTTTTTTCTCAGCCTTAACGCTTAGCTTTCCTACCCCACCAGCATTTCCCCCACTATTAGTGAATTCTTATTCGTGCATCAATTCTATCAATACATTAGTCACATGATGCCATTAGACAGCTTGGTCCTTCATTTATTCTTTTATGTGTTCATAGAATTCTATCAAAGCATTGGTAATAAAAAGTTCCTCCTCCCTATCATGCTCTAAAACTTGCATGAATGCCCAAATAAATTCATAAACTGAAACTTCGTTCTTAAATAAACCAGGTTAACTGGGCTGTCCATATCTTGGACTCACTACACTACTTCCAATGCCTTTGGGACTGCTCATTTAATCATTCAAACTTACTCCAAAATTACTCATAGACTGACTAGGAGTGAAAACTTTTTCGATTGAGAATTTTTACAATGTAAATTGCATCTATTTCCTCTTTTTTTCGAATTCTTCAAATTGCCTTTCTAAGTTTTAGAAGGATTCATGACCTAAATTTGCTACGAGGTAACCGATATCATAGGTTTCTAAGAGATACTCTCCTTTCTTGTTTTTCAAATGAGCTAGTTTCTTGACATCCATGTCACTTAATGTTAGCTCTCTAAGTTGCTAATAGTTTTGCTTATTAAGCAGTCTTTCTTCTTTGTAACTTTTCCAAAAGTCTTCTTCTTCCATTTAATAAATAATTATGCTATTAAGTTAATCAAGAGTTATATTATTATAACTATAAAATCAATTTATTTGTTAATGAACGGGCAGAAATTAAATATTTAAAGAGCCAGTGGAGCAGCCGCTAGAAATAAAGGGCATGTTCCACTTAAATTAAAAATAGATTTGACTGAATAAAATATTGAACAGAGAGGTGGTGTAAAATCTAGGTACTAAGAAATGTAACCACAAGTTAAAACAGTCAATTCTAACAGATCCACTTCTAATATTTCATCGTTTAATGATGATAGAACCTTGGCTAACAGCAGATCAAATCTAAATATCAGCTCTATATCCTCATAGTTCGTGAATAATCAGAGAAGACCAGGATTTTTCCAAAAATCGCCCCCAACTACTAGAGATCTAATGAAAAAATGTTTACTAAGTGATAGAGTTTTAGACAATGCTGAAAGAAGACTTTCTAGTGCAGTATCACCCACTTATAAAAGTCAAATTAAATTTTAATTGGATCTGAGCAGTAAAGAAAATGTTGAGCCAAGATAAAAATCGATTAGGAGATAATCACCTTATGCTAGGAGAGAATCAATGGGAGGATTAATTCACGACTACTAAATGAAAGTTACCAAAAATGTTACAGGGAAACTCAATTAAGCTGCACCTTCAAAGGTAATGAACTTCATGAAGGAAAATAACTATCATCCCTACTACGTTACTTAGGAGCATTGTAAGTTAATTACAATAATTGAAAATTGTTATAGATGATTTTTGGAACCAAAGGAGGTGTTGATAAGACGTTTAAAAATAATTCCTATTGTAGACTTAATGTTAAATTAGTTAAATCATTAATTTATATTATGATAGTTCTTGTTTCTTCAATTAAATCTAGATCTCTTAATAGTCTATAAGCTTTCAATTTCTCTTTGTTCATGAGTGGAAAGGTCTTCATTTTTAAATTTTTGAGAGTATTTGATTTTTTATGCTTCGTATGTAGTCATCTACTTACCACTACCTACCACACCAACTTTTCCAGTTATAGTATCAGGAGATTTAAAAATGGACTCAGCATTTTTAGTCAAGGCGAAATGACCAGCTTTTTACTTTTGGGCTTTGTTTGTAAAATCAAGCCAAGTACTCTATCTTGATTTTGACTCCACTTCTTGTAGCTTAACCTTATGTGTATACTTTAAAGCCTTAACCTTTTTCTTCTTTTGCATTTTTATTTTCTCTGTATCTCCTCTCTTTAATCTAAGATGCTCTGGAATAGCAAAGTCACCCACTGGTTAATCATCACTATCTCCATTCAGCATATTTTCCCTTCTCTAAGCATTTTAGACCATTTGATCTCTTGTTATACGAATATAGTCTAACGGTACAGTTGCTTTGATTTATTGATGCTTGAATTTAACCAAGTATTTCTGTAGAATTGCATTTAACTCTGGTGATACATCACTGCTGCTTTGCTCATCATTAATAATTTTTTCTATTGTACAAGGATACCACATTCCATCTTGAGCAAAAACTGCATTGCATTGAGCAGTTTCGAATAGATCATTTGGATTAGGAGGAGTCAATACACTTAGGAATTTTTTGTGCAGTTTCTCCTACTTTTTATAACCTATCCAAGCAATTTCAGCTTCTTAAGTATCCTCAAAGATGTCAAGAATTAGAGCAGCATACCAAGTCTTTTCTGATGAAAAGTAGGCTTCACAAACTCTATCTGAATGAAGCTTTTTCTAAAGAGGGATTTAAGAATTCTACAAGAACTTTAACTCATTCAACTGTAATATCATACTGTCCTTTAGCTAATCTCGAAGTCTTTCTACCTCTTCCTTTTTTTCTGGGTCATTGGTTATCTCTTCCTCTTCTTTAAGGATGCGCTCTACCTTTGAAAGTTGAACTTTGTACTCAGCGATGGTGCTTTCAAGCTAGGTCATCTTTTATCGATCTGCCTCACTTATATTCTTTTACTCACCGCTCTAATTATTAGTTCTGGAAGGATCTTTACCTATTTGATAAGAAGAAGATGGAGCCTCCTTTAATTCCTCATTATCATTAATGATGTTGCTATTATTTGATAATTGTTATTCACCTGCTCTTTGAAATCTAGATTAAGCTACTACTTTCTTTTGTTGTGCTTCATCCTCATCGGAATCACTATCGTAGAATGCTTTCTTGATGGTTGGGGCTTGGTTCTACTGCAAAGTGTTATCTGAATAAAATTTATTCATATTAGAATGGTCTGCCATACCTTATAATTAGTTCAAAATTATTAAATTATATAATGATACTAAAGTGCATCAAAATGGTAATAAAGTTATTTTGGCTCTTCGGGGTTTTGGGGTTTTGGGGTTTTGGGG